AGAGAGAGAGAGAGAGCTATTTACAGTACCAAGAGAAAAAAACACAAAAATAGCAGTCTCAAAAGTTAACACATGTATTACTAACCCTACTGGCCTAAGACAATAAGAATGCTCAGTACTCAAGATGACACCTACCTCAAGTCTCCCCCTACTCAGTTTTACTGGCTTTCCTTCTTCAACTATAAGGCTCTTGCTATGCAGAATCTGAGTGTGATGTTGGTGACCTTCCAAGGACACTCGAACACAGATGCTCACATCTAAATATATATTCTTAACTTTTACTGTCAAGTTAAACATATCGATGTTGCCATCACCATCATGCTTATAAACCACGTGTCCCTGTTTCAGGTCATGCTGAGAAAATGAGTGAGACACGGAACTGTTGACCAGAAGTCTGCCATGCTTTGGGGGCCAGATGATGTAGAATTCAACCTCATGGTTTGTTCTGACATCTTGGTTTGTAGTGACACTCAGGTTGGCTGTTGTGAAGCAAGTGTCCTTCCCTCTGTGCACAAGCAGCCCTGTGTTGTTGACTATGTGGACATATGGCTCTGACACACTGACCTCAAGAAGAGATGATGTGTAATGGACACCATCTGTCACAAACATGAGGAATTGGGCAGAGTCTGGACCAAGGTGCTTGAAGAGGACACGCCCTTCCTGAAGGTCCTCTTGTCTGAACTGGTAGAGTTTCTGAGTGGGATCATTTGCTTGCACTAAATCTCCATTTGGGATGCCACGACGAGTGTAGAGCAACTGCCCATCATCAAAATCTAAATCAGGATCATGGTAACAGAGGTCTGCCAGGGTCAGTAAGCGCTGACCACCCCGCACAACATGAAAGACCTTATCCACCACACGCACTGGCCTCTCATCATTCTTTAATGCAACAGAAATGGTGACTTTGATTTCTGTAGACAAATGCTCAGAGTCAAGACCTCTGGCCCCTCCCTGTTGCCCTGAACTTGTGGCAGAGGCCACAACAAAGAATTCATCACAGTGGGTCTCAGAGTCATCATGAACATACATCAGCCTCCCCCCTATTATGTCTTGATCTGTGAATGTGGCGATAGTGTCATCACGTCCCAGAGAACCAGAAGAGCTAACCAACTTCAGCTCCCCATGCTGAGGACTCTTGGTGACTTTATAGTGGATGATCTGATTGTCTAAGGTTTGAACAAATAATTCTGATTTTGTAATTACTGTCCCTTCTCCTTCTTTTACAAGTAGTCCTGTGTTTGTTAAAACAATATGTGTCTTATCTGCTTTAAGGTTTATCATGAAGATATAATCTTTTGATTCTATGTGTTTTACAACAATCAAAAAACTAAAACTATCCTGTAAATCTTCCCTGGACCTCACCTGAGGTTCATAGCTTATCTTAGAGTCTGTAATGTTTTTTTGACTGAAAATTGAGCTTGCTTTTAGAACTTCATTGCTGAGTAGCAATTTTCCTTTCTTAGGTGGGATCAGTAACTTAAAATATAATTCCCTCTCGGCTATTTCCACATTCCCTGCTATAGCCTGCAAATGATAAGAATCCAATACTTTCTTGTTTGTGTTAAGAATCTCTAAAGGGATATTTTTCAGAAGTATAAGCTTCAGCCATTGGACAGTCACAGGAAACAGGAGCTCTTTGCTGACTTTTCCTTCTACTTTAACTCTAAATTTAAAGTGATCTGTAACATTTTCTTGCTGCAGTTCTTTGAAAGAACTATAGTACCGGATCTGACTATGATCAACAGAATGTTGAGAAAAGGAACTAACTTGTTTCCATTCTCCATTTGATCCTCGACGCTGAATTTGACCAAACTGAGGTGGATAAGTGATGTCATAGCAGGTCTCCATCTCATGTTGTTCACCATTCACCTCCACTGACAAGTTACTCTGAGTAATCAGGACAGCACCACCCTGTGGTACCACTACACCAGTCCTGGCCACTTCAAAGTCCCAAGGAACAGCCATGATCCGCAGTACCACAGTATTACTAACCAGCTCACCATCACTTGCTCTCAGAACAATTCGAGAGTTCCCATGACCCCCGTGCACATAGAAAATATTGCCATCTCGTAAATCCACGTATGTAAAACCATTAATGGCTTTCCCGGGATTACTGGCACTTTCTACAAACCCAGTCTCTGAATTGAAGTTGCTAAGAACTGAAAACCCCAGACTCAGAGAATCTGTGTCAGGGTCTGACACCTGTATCATATTTGGGGTCAATCTTTTCTTAGAGTTCTCAAAGAGGAGAAGCAAGTTTCCTTCTGGGAGCTTAAGGTGCGGAGGATCATTCACTGGGATGACAATAATGTTAAACACATGTGGAACATGGTCCTGCAGGTGGGATAGCACTGCCTTCTGGCTTCTGGAAAAAACCAAAAATGTAAAAGAATCTGTAGGTTCTTCTGAACCATCATGGATGTACCATACTTTCCCTTGCCTCAAATCTAACATAGTGAAAGCCTTCTCCATTTCTTGCTCAGGCCAAACATCTATTTGAAGAAACCCATGAGCTGGCATTTCCTGTATTTTAAGTAGTATTTGAGAATAATTGACACCCAAATCCATGAATTCCACATTCACTTCTATATGCCTTTGTCCCAGTAAGGCTTGCCCACCTTCTTGGACTTCCAAGTTACTTAAAACCAAAAAACGTCCACTTTCATCTTGAAGAAAAGAGCTGTGGGCACCAGGAACGACAGCAGAAGGGGATGGAGCAGGCTTAAGCAGGTCTCCCATGGTTACAGAATGATCTGTATGAGCCACACTCTCACTTTTGCACCCAGCAGAAATATCTTTGGAAGCAAGCGCATCCCTTAATGCTCTCTTTTCTGAGTTGGCTTCCAAGTCTGTTAGGCAACCTTTGAGAGAGATTCTGTGAGAAGATTTTCCAGACACAGAGGCAATTTCTAATCTCCTCACTGCTTCCCACATTTGGTTATTCAGACCGCCCACAAATAGGGGCCCTTCAGACACAAACAGTCTGCTTTGCAAAGGCAGTGAGGTCCTTGTCCTTTGCTCATCTATCAGGAGGTCCAGATACCTTCCCGTGACTCTGAGTTGAATGATGTGCCACTTGTTGTCACTAATGAAGCTAAAAGAAGGAAGCTGAGTTCTAGTTTCACCCCTTCCTACATGAGCTTTCAACAGACCATCATGTATTTCTAAGGCAACAAAATCTTTTTCCCTCCCTGACTGAAATAAAAGCAAGGCTTGTTTGGTTCCAGTTTGCACAGCAAATCTCAATGTCCCTTCTCCTAGAACCTTCCATTCTGGAAAAATGACATAGGATCTAGAGCTGAAAAAATTGATGGCCTCATTCTCTCCAGCAAAAAACTCATCACTGCACCCCAGCGACACCTCATAAACCTTCTTAAAACCAGGGTAAGACCTGAGGGATGCAAGGACCTCCTTCTGGTTAAACACCACATCCTCCATACATCCGCGAAAGTTGGGGGTCTTTCCATCTAAGTAAGGGACACTGAGTCCTCCACGACCGCCTATGTAGACTCCATAGTTAAAGATGAAATTATGGATCCCACCAGCCACTTGGTCAGTTGTCTCATAACGTTTGTCAGTAACCAAGAAGATATTATTGTTGACATGGTACAGTTCCACCAAATGCCAAACCAAATCATCCATCCGAAGTCTTTGCTCAGAAAGAACTTGTTCACCTGTTCCCAAATTTACTTTCACCTAAGAGAAAAGAAAAAGCAGTAATTAAAGAACCTCATCAAGATGTTCAACCCATAGTGTTTTAGTTAGGAAAATGGAATTGCTATAGTTTATTCCCACTAAAACTCAGGTTGAGGTATAAATCCCAAAGCAGCAGTGTTCAGAGGTGGTGAGGCCTCAAAGAACTGATCAGGTTGTTAAGAGAGATCAATGCCTTTCTTGAGAGTAGTTCTCTCATGAAAGTGTATTAGTAACTTTAAGAGTGGGTTACTATAAAGCAGGCTTGCCTCTTGTTTCCTCTCTCACCATGGGCTCTCTTCTACCATGGCCCTCACCAGAAGCAAAGCAGATGCCAGCATCATGTTCTTGGACACCCAGAACCATGGTCAAAAATGGACCTGTTGCTTTTATCTTTGTAAATTACTCAGTCTTGGGTATTTTGTTATAGCAAGAGAAAGGGAGGGACAGAAAGAAGGAGGAAGGGAAAGTGTATGTCATTTGGGCATGAAAACTTCCTAAAGTTATAGATTATTGAAGTAAAAAAAAATTAGAGTCAGAATATTTAAGACATGTTAGCAAAACTGGAGAAGGTCCCACCCTATGTAAATGGCACATCACTTCATTCTAGTAAGAAATAGTTTGTTCTCTTTCTTACTTTGTTCTGTCTAGTAATTGAATGCTTACATGTTTTAAAGATTTTTTAAAAAATCCTACCTGTAATGTTCCTGACAGAAGTTCTATTATGCAATAGTCAATGTTCCCAGCTGCAAGAAAAAGTAACCCCTGTGGCTTGCTGGTTTGAAATTTTAATTGAAGAGATAACTCAGAGGTATCTTCTATGATGTTGAGCTCCACAAAGCTTTCACCATAAAAAGATGCTACAGAGAAGAAAAAGTAGAAGTCAGTAAATTTGCTATACAATGGCTATTTCACTTTATATTCTCCTTCCCTTTCCTAGACCAACCCTGCTAAAGAAAGCTGCCTTGACAAGTCCATGCCTGCTTTCTGAGTGGCCCATAGACTCAACATGGAAATACCAAGGCTGTTTCTCTCACCCAATGCTGGACAGTTCTGAAGGGCCATCCCTTCGACAGAACTGTCCAAAGGGGCAGCCAACGCTTTCACTGAGGCTGAATTGCTACCCAAATGCTCCATCTACCCATCTGCTTCCTTCCCTTCTGCAGGGGTTGATTTTAAGTTCTCTCTTGTAAATCGCCTGCATTTTAAAGCCCATCTCAGATTCTGCTCTCCAGGAACCTAACTGGTACTGGGAATGACCAGAGAAAATAGACATTGGAATGGTGTTCTAGTTTGTTTCTCCATTGCTGTGACAAAACACTCTGACCAATACCAACTTGGGGAGGAAAGGGTTTATTCGGCTTACATCTCCCAGGTCACAGTTCATCAGGGAGCCCAAGGTAGGAACTCGGGGCAGGAACCTGGAGGCAGGAGCTGGAGCACAGGCCATGGAGAACACTGCTTACTGGGTTGCTTCTCTGGCCCATGTTTAACCTGCTTTCTTATACAACACAGGCCCACCTGCCCAGGGGTGGCTCCACCCACAGTGGGCTGGGCCCTCCCACATCACTCAATACTCAAGAAGATACCCCACAGACATGGCCACTGGCCAGTCCAATGGAGACAATCACTAATTGAGGCTCCCTCTACCCAGGTATGTCAAGTTGACAACTAAACCTATCCAGCACAAATGGGATTTGAAATGACAGTTAGGATGCTATCAATAGGGATAGGAAGATCACAAGAAACCCTAGCAATGGCTGTTAAAATTTCACTGGCTGTGAACTGGTATGAAATAGTAGTGCCAGAGAGCATGCTAGTCCAGCTTTGAAATATTAAGCAATGAAAAATATGGGGCAAATATGAAGTGGACAGTGAAACTGCGTGCCTGTTGAGAAGCGTGAAGCTTTGGAAAAAAATAAGCTGGAAGAAATCAGTGTTCATAATTTCCTGGGAGTTCTCCATGGTAAAATACAAAGTTCTTCTCATTTCCCACAGGAGGACAGAGGAAGCTAAGACTCATATCAAGGAATTGATCATCAAAAAAGTCACAACTAAGGGACAAGCTTGCTCTGACAAAGCCAAAGCTCTGGTTGGAAAAAAGTGGGATCTTGCCATTTGAAACTGGAAATCAAGCCTGATGCATTCAAGCATCTGACTCCCAGGCCACCTCTGAGACTACAGAACTGGACTATTCTCCTATGAAGGTCAACACTTTCCCCTCAGAGTTGGCAGAAGCCTCTGTCTCCACAATACAACGTGGGACCCCTGAAGGGCCCCACTGATCCTCCCAGCCGCAGGATAAAAAATGACAGTTAAGTCACAACCCAGCCTACATGTGGTCATGTCTGACTCAATAAGGGATAGATAACGCAGCTGCAAAGAGAGTGTTCGTGTGATCTCCTTGAGTGCCTCTTGACAGTAAATAAGTAACTGCAGTCACCATGGCTTTAGAAGTGCATAGTGGCAAGGGCTCAGACCTTCGAGATGAAAGCTGAAGTTGTAGCATCAGGCAGTTACTGAAACAAGAAGAGATGTCAGAGGACCTACAAAGTATCAGTAGGAACATGAAAATTACTACTCAGACACAGCTCCGAGAATTTACAGGACAAAGTCAATTCAAGAGATGCAACAGGCAGACCCTGAGATACACTGCTTTGATTAAAGACTTTAGCCCCTGGCTGCTTTGAATGCTGTTGGAAAATAGCCCTCAGGCTTTTTAGAACTCCCTTCAAGTCCAACTGAGGCTTTCATTGAGGTTACATTAAAGGTTGGCTTCTTTCTTTCCAGCCAGCCTCCTTTTCCTTTCTTTCCTTTCTTTTCCCCAGAGGTTGACCAAGAACACTTCCTAATAAAGTCAGTGCATATATATCTCCCTCTCAGAGTCTGCTTTGGGGTTAGTAAGCTGGGATCCCTGCCTCTCCTCTGTACTCTTACAGCACTGGGCATCTTTATCCTATCTGTTACCCTGTACTATTGAAATTACTGGTTGTATTAGTTATCTTTCTGTTGCTTTGATAAACACCATGACCAAGGCCACTGATAGAAGGAAGAGTTTCAGAGGGATAAAAGTCCATCATGGCAGGGGAGGCTTGGCAGGAGGCAGCCAGACCAGAAAGATGAGCACTCACATCTTCAAGCAGACACAGGAAATAGAGCCAAACTGGAAACAGGCAAGCTAATGCCCACCTCTGGTGACATGCTTCCTAAACCTCTCAAAAACAGAGACATCAACTGGGGACGAAGTGTTCAAACAAATACCTGGAATCTATCGGGGACATTCTCATTCAAACCACCACACTAGTTTTGTATTTCTGAAAGTCAGAGACTGTACTTTTACATCTTTGTCTCTCCAGTTCTTAGCACAGTATCTGGAACACAGGGAATGTAACAGATTCTGTGTGTTTCTCCGAGACCCCTGTAACCAGCTGCATGTACCCACCCTTCAGCTGCACACCGCTTCATACAGAAACTCCATGAAATCACACCAGCTAACCTGGAAGGCAACAGATAGCCAACGAATGATCAGAACAGAATTTGGTGTTGACATTCATTATCCAGAGCCCACTGTGGGATAAAGCTGAGAGTGTGTCCTCTGAAATGACATCTCTGCTACTCCTGCCCTCACCTGCCCCCCTTACTTCTTTCTCTTCTGGGAGAAATCACTCAATGATTCACTTGCACAAGGACCCCTGTCTCAGGCCCTCTTGCTAAGGAATCTGACCTGAAAGAACAAATATGCATTTATTCAACCAAACTAAACTGATGTAGTAGACCCCTCACTCTACAGTTGCGTAAACTTGGATCTGGAGAAGCTTAGGAATTTAGGTAAAGTCAACAGTTAATTAGAGTTAGGACAAAAAACAATAGTCTAGTGTTTTCACCAAAGTATTAAGTTCATACAAAGGTGACTATGACCCCTGCAGTGTTCTCCAGAGATTGTAAGCACTCTTCTTGCCAGTTAAAATGCTCACTAAGGTGGAAAGGACAGACTTCTTCAAGAAACTCACAGCCTCCTCACCCCACCCTTCTGAGCTGGACCCTCCTGAGTCCTCCCATGTGCCTGAGGGGATTCTATTACCTAGAGTTTGCAATTACCTTTTTTCAGAGAAAAGGTGATACACTTTGCAGGCAGTCTCAGTGCACAAGATGGCCAAAAAATGAGCCCACACTCACCAGTGCTTCAACAAGGAACAGCCAAAGCAATAACTGAATAGCCATGCTTTGAGGTGAGTGACCATCGGAGAGCACTGGACCTCAGCAAGAGTCTCTCCTTTGACTGCCAAACGTTCAAAGTCCTTATGAGACCTAGGGTGACAGTACAGAAAGAAAAATAAAGCATCCCAACAACTGCCACTAGACTCACCAGCCAGAGAAGGTGGGGCTTGCCTTTGCAGAGAAAGAATGAATAGGAGTGTCCTGGCAAATCCATAATGCCCATTGCTGGCAGATTTGGTTACTGGAAAGCATCATAGCCACCAGCGCTTGCAAGCTAGTTAGGGAAGCAAACTGGAGTCTGTACAAAGTAGTTTTACTTTAAAGGAGGAATTCACACTGGTCTCTTCACAAACTCCCACAGCCCAGGCTCCCATGACTTGGCACCATCTTAAGAAAGGAGATCTTAAGAAATTTATTGTCTAAATTAATACTGCACTAGAGGATACAACCCCCTGGGCATTTTCATTACTGGGCACCACCATCATTCCACTGGTGTAAGAGATTACAGACTCACAGACCTAATTTCATCAAGCACAGCACCTGTAACCCTAGCATTCATTGGGAACACAGGAATGGCCAGTCATATGTGGACTCAGGCCAATGCCAGAACTGAAGGCAAGCATCCACATGGTCCCCACCATGCATCTACCCTGTGCTGAGCTTGGTTCTTGCTCCTCTACCTTTGGGGCCAGAATTCAATGTCTCACAGCTCCATTCCCATGATGCCTCTGGTTGCATGTGTTTCTAACCTATGGTGCCCAGCTATTTATTATATTAAGTGCTGTGGGTCCCTCTATCATCATTACCTTGCTCCTCACCACCTTTGGCTACATGCACTACTCTTTCATCAGACCGCAGTATGATCACTCCAATTGTTGGAGTGGCCACACCATAAGCACCCTATACCCACGGTTGTGTACACCAAACCTGCCTGAGCCATAAGAATGTTCCCACTCCTGCACAGCCATCAGGGAACAGTGCTTCCCTTTAACTCTGCCATATCATGTTGTACCATAACTATTGAATATACTCAGGGAATCAATAAAGAGATTACACTATAGTGCCCAGCTAGAACTAATGCCAAGATCGCATTCCAATGTAGAAGGAAAAGAAATTTGGAAAAAAGAACCATGAACCATGATAACATGATGCTCTGTAGAATACATAATTTTCTAGTGACAGATTCCAGAAGAAAGAACAATGATGAAATGTCTGATAAAGAATTTAAAAGAATGATGATAAGAAAGCTCAATGAGATTCAAGAAAATACAGAGCATAGAAAGAAGCAAACCCAGAAAAATAATGCATGACATGAATGAGAAATTTGGCAAAAGAAAATATTATATATATATGTGTGTGTGTATATATACACACAATAATAGAGTTTTATTCAGCAATAAAGAAGAACAAAATAGTGTCATTCATAGGAAAATGGTTGGAACTGGAGAGCTTCATGTTAAGTGAAGGAAGTCAGACTCAGAAAAACAATGTTTTTTTCCTCTCACATGCAGAGTCTAGAATATCGATGCAGATATATGGCATGATAATAGGTGGGGGAGGCTATTTGGGAAAAGGAGGCCAGTGAGAGGGAGGCAGTGATGGGGGATTGGTGAATAAGAGAAAAGCACACATGTACACACATGAAGATGTCATCATAAAATTCATCATTTTGTACAAGGAATATAAACTAACAAAAATTAAGTCTAAAATCTAAAAAGCATAAAAATGAAAGTCACTAAAAATAGAAATTTTTAAAAAAGAATTAAGCAGGGATCTTGGAAACACAGATCAAAAGTCAGATAAAAAAAACACTGAAAGCCTCCACAACAAGCTAGATCAAACAGAGAAAGAATATCTGAACTTGAAGACAAATCTCTCAAAGGATTTCTGTCAGACAAAGAGGAAGAAATAGGAAGAGGAAGAGGACGGGGGAGGGTAGACAGGGAGAGGAGGAGGAAGAAAGAAGGAGGAGAAGACATCAATGAAGAAGAGACAGCCCTCATGAACTGGGGCATCATTAAATGTACAAATATTGCCACCTGGCAGTACTTAAAGGAGAAGAAAAACAGGAATGTATGTAAAGTCTATTCAATGATATAATACCTGAAAATTCCATAATATTGGAAAAGATATGGATGTTCAGTTACAGGAGATTAAAGGACCCTGAATAGATGTGATCAGAAAAGATTCTCACACCAACATATTATAGTAAAACTGTCAGAGAGAAGGCAAAGAGAATTCTAAAATTTGAAAGAGAGAGGGACCAAGTCATGTTTAGGAGAATGTTCATTAGACCAACATAATTTTTTTGGAGACAGGGTCTACTATGTATCCCAGGCTAGCCTTGAACATAAGATCCTGTCACAGTCTCCTAAGTACTAGAATTATAGGTATGTGCCACCATGTCTAGTTGCCAAGAGCAGATTTCTAACAAAAACTTTATAGTCAAGAGGGAATGCAATGATTTATTCAAAACTCTGGAGAAAAATTTAAACCAAGACTACTAAATCCAGCAAGGCTATCCTTCAGAAATAAAAAAATTTTAAGATAAGCAAACACAGAGGGAATTCATCACCACCAGATGATACTAAAGGATTAGAGAGATGGCTCAGTGGTTAAGAGCATTTGCAGCTCTTGCAGAGGACCTGGGTTCGATTCCCAGCACCTACATGGCAGTTAAAAACCATCTGTAACCCCAGTTCCAGGTGATCCAATGCCCTTTTCAGACCACTATGTGCACTGTACAACACAGGTGCACCTACCTACACGGAGACAATACACTCATACACATAAAATAAAAACAATAAATAATTTTTTAAATGCTTAAGAGAGTCTCACATCCAGAAGCAAAAGAGATGGATAACTACCATCAAGAGAACACGTGGAAGTATAAAATCCATCAGTAAAATAAACACACAAAAGAGAAATGGAAAAGAAGCAACTTTTATCAACCTAATAAAACCACCAAAAGATGAGAGGGAAAACAAAGCAAATAATATTCAAGACAAATATAAAAAATTAACAAATTCAACAAGAATAAGTCCTTACATACATATAAAAACCTTGAATGTAAATGACCTAACTTCCCCATTAAAAGATAAAGACTGCCTGAATGGATTTAAAAAAATAATGCCTAATGATATGCTGTCTAGAGAAACTGGCTTCCCTACAGACTGAAAGTAACAGCATGGAAACAGATACCCCACAAAAACAGAAACCATAAATATTCAGAAATAGCTATTCTTACATTAGGCAAAATAGACTTAAAGATAAAAACAGAGAAAAGAGGCAAGAAGGTTATATATAATGATCATGGAATCAATTCAACAAAAATACATAATAGAGTCAGCAAGATGGCTCAGCTGGTTAAGCTGATTAAGGCTGGTTAAGCCAAGCCTGACACTCTGAGCTTGATCCCTGAGACCCACATTGTGAAAGGAGAGAACAGACTTCAACATGTTGTCTTCTGACCTCCATATGCATACACATATAAATAAATGTAATATTAATATTTAAAAAGAATATGTAACAATTGTGAGTGATTATGTACCCAATGCAGGAGAACTGACGTCTATAAAACAATCATTATTAGATCTAAAAGGAGAGATAGGATCCAATACAACCAACGGGAGACCTCAATACTTTACTAATGGACACATCATCTGGACAGAAAAATCAATAAACATTTAGACTATGCTCTCGATCAAATGATGTTAGTAGTCATTATAGAACATTTCATCCAACAACTAAATATACCTTTTTTTCTTCAGTACATGGAACTCTCTTGAATAGATGAGGTATCAGGCTCAAAACACATTTCAACAAACACCAAAAGGTCAAAATTACATCATGTATCTTCTTAAATCACTAGAAATTAACAAGAAAACCTCAGAATATGTGCAAATTCATGGAGACCTAACAACATGCTTCAGAACAAACCATGGATCATTAAAAAAATCAAAAGGGAAAAAATTTTAAACTTTTTTAAAACAAGTATGAATGGAAATATAATCTACCAAAACTTACCAGAAACAGCAAAAACAGAGGGAAGAGGGAGTCTATAGCGATAAATGCCCATTTTAAATAATGAAATGTGTCAAACATGCAACCTAAGACATCTCAAGGACCTAGAGCAGCAAGCGCAACCAAACTTCAAATTAGTGAAGGAAAGAAATAACAAAGATCAGAGAAGAAATAAGATAGACTCTAAAAGAACATACAAAAGATCAATGAAGCAAAAGTTGTTTTTTAAAAAGATAACCAAAAAAATAAAGTAAAATACCTAGGAATAAATTTAACCAAGGCAATGAAAAACCTCTGTAAGAAAAATTAGGAAACATTGATGAACAAATGTAAAGAAGATATGCAAAAAAAGAAAGGTCTCCCATGATCATGAATGATCATGAATTGAAACAGTTCATATTATTAATTAAAATGTCTATACTACCCAAAACAATTCACAGATTCAGGCAATGACCATCAAAATACCAATGATATTCTTCACAGAGCTAGGAAAAAGCAATCCTAAACTTTTTATAAAACACCAAAGACTCTAAAGAGTCAAAATAATCTTCAAAAAAACCTAAAAGCTAGAAGCAACCCAATACTTGATTTCAAGGCATACTCCAGAACCACAGTAAACAAACAGTATGGTATTGGCATACAAGCAAACACAAAGATCAGTGGAACATAGCAGACATTCTAGAAATAGACTTGTTCTCAAAAAAAAGCACCAAAAGCATACATTAGAGAAACAGTATCTTTGATGCATGGTACTGGGAAAACTGAGTATCTGTATGTGGAAAGTTGAAATGACCCTTATCTCTCATCCAGTTTTAAAAAAAATATCAATTCAAAATGATCAAAGTCCTCAATGTAAAACCTGAAAATCTGAACTACTGGAAGAAAGAAGGGAAAGAGCTAAAAACATTGATAAAGGTAATAATGTTTTAGAAAGGACTCCAAAAGCACAGGAACAAAAGAAAAAATGTCCATTATGTCAACCTAAAAACCTTCTGATAGCAAAGGAAACAATCAACAAAGAAGGGGTAACTTACAGAAAGATAAAAAAATATTTGCCAACTATTCATCTAATAAAGAACTGACATCCAGAATACACAAGAAACTCAAAAAGCTCAACAATAAAAGAAACAAGCAATCCTATTAAAAGTGGGGAAATGATCTAAATAGACACCTCTCAAAAGGAGAAACACACATGGCCGACAGGTTCATGAAAAAAATGTTCAATATCATTAGCCACTAGAAAAATGCAACTCAAAACTATAATGAGATATCATTTCACACAAGTTAGAATGACTATTATCAAAAAATAATCAATTCTGTATGTAGAGATAAAGGAAGTTTCATACATAGTTAATAGGAATGTAAACTAATACAATAGAACCAATATGAAGATTCCTCAAAAAAACTAAAATATATCTATGATAAGAACCAGCCATCCTATTTCTAAGCATATATCCAAAGGGGGGAACCAAAGAACCAAAGAGCCACCTACATGCCCATATTTACTGCAGCACTATCCAAAATTGCTAAGATGAATCATCTAGGTGCCCATAAATAGATGAATAGACAAATAAAATTAGATAAATAAATTATGCAGAGATTGACAGATAACTGATAGATAATGTTTATATATAATTGAATATTATTCAGCCATAAATGAAATCCTACCCTTTGCAGCAAAATGGATGAAGCTAAGAGACATTATGTTAGCAAAATAAGCCAAAGAAAGGTAAGTATCACATGTTCTCCCTCATATGTGAAAGTCTTTTTTTTTTTTTAAGTCATCCTGACTGTAGAAAAGTGATTACTAGGAGCTGAGAGGAGGGAGGGTAAAAGAAAGCTGGATTTGATCAGTGCACACTGTATCTATCTGTTGAAACCTTTCATATACAACTAACACATGTTGGACAAATTTTTTTTAAGAGTCAGTCAATCTCAACAAATAGATAAATCAGCCATTAATAAGTAAACTCAAGACTAGAATATAGAACTAACATCATCAAAGATGAAGCAAGCAATTTTAAACCAACTATTTAATTGTGTTTATTCTCCTGGTCTTCGCATTACCGAATGCTCCCAACATCCCAACTTTTGACAGGCTTGGAAGCTGTATTGTTAAGTGTTTAAAACGAGGAAATGTTTTCTAAATCATAAGATCTACTGTTGAGAATGACTAAATAACATTCATAAACAACATCCCTTTATTTTCACATGTTTTACCTCTCTGACACTAAATCAATTTCAGACTCAGATGGTGGTCAGAAATTTCCATTACCTCTGGGGGAAAACAAGGACGTGGCTTTAAAACTTCTGGTTTGACAGCCTGAAGTCACTTCATGTTCTCACACACCTCCAAGTTGCCGGATCTTTTGTACCCCTCACAAGCATCTCAAAATAGAAATGGAGAACAAACAGGAAAGCAAGTGAAATTGGTTCCTGGAAAAGAAAAGGAGACTAGACCTCTGATGAAGCAAAGGATATGATTTCAGTATCAGTGCATTTATCAGGTTGGCCAGAAACCCAAGATGTTGTCCTGTTCCTACGTGCTGAAATAAATTGAAAATGCTCAATGCAAGTCAGCATTTGCTACTATGGTAGCTAAAATACAGTGTTCCAGAACTCTCATCTCTCAAAATATTTTTATTGGTCTGCAAATCCTGTGAGAAGATGTACCATATTTACCTTAGGATTGATTTTCATTCTAGTTTCTCTCTAGTTCTTTGTTTGATTTTGGTTTGACATTGTTTTGGCTCTGGTTTGGCTTATTATTTACTGAGCACCCCACATGTGCTAAGTATTGTTAGGAATAGAAGGTATAGACCTAATTAAAGAGCTTGCTGTCTTTCAGAGTGAAAATGTACCCCCAAAGAAGAGCACCCTGAGTGATGCTGAGAAGTTAGTAAAAATGGGAGCTAGTTTGAAGAAAGCTGGGGAATAAGGGAGGGAAGAAAAGGTATCTCTCCTAGCTTCACAAATGAGCCCAAGGGTTTTCTTTGGTACTGAGGATTCAAAGGTGAACACAGAGAACTCTCTTGGTTACTTTGCTGGGGCTGTGATAAAATACCCTGACAAGAACAACTACAAGAAGAAAGGGTTTATTTTGACTTACAGTTCCACAAGGATACAGCCCATTGTGGCAAAAAAGGCATGGCACCAGGCAGATGGCAGGAACAGGAGGCTGGCTGGTCACCTGCATCCACAAAAGCAGAGGGTGAACAGGAAGTTGGACCAGGCTACAAAGCCTCAAGGCCTGTCCCCAGTGACCCACTTCCTCCAGTGAGGCTCCACCTCCTAAAGGTTCCACAACATTCCCAAACGACACCACCAGCTGGGGATCAAACATGTGAGCTTATGGTAGAAATTTCACATTCAAACCACAACTGCTAATCAAGTGATCATAGTCACTTGTTAACCGGGAAAAGCAGATCATAGCCAAAGCACTCTGGTTAAAAGCCATAGAGTACAGGGGTTTCAGGCAAAGGGATGACTTCTGGGAAGACCTGGGGGATGGAGTGGGAGGAGAGGAGGGAGAAAACTAGGAAAGAAGAGAGGTGACAACACAGGGATTGAAGGTCCTATCTGGTTAAGCACAGATAGGAGAGAACAGCTGCAGTTGAGGCTGCAGCCCCCTGAAGGGTGACAGGGCCAACAGTGGGAAGGGGCTGCCTTTTACATTTCGAAGGCCTTCTCTCACCTAAATCACCTTCAAAAATGAACTGGCTGGCTACTCCTTTAATGGCCATTATCATAAATCTGTTTTTTTGGCCTATGTCACTGGATATTATCTAGCCCCATTAGTACACCACTCAAAATGGAACGGTAAGATTTAAATATCAAAATCTTCATTAGTCCAACCACTGCTTAATTCCTCGTGCTCAGGACACATTAGACTACTAAAGAAATGCAGGCCTTGGCTATACTAGCCTGGTCAGAGGGACTTAAAGGACAGTTTTTGCACCTTGACCTCCAAGGTTGACTAAGTTCCAGGGGACTATGCAGTATCTCTCAAAATGTCCTGTAACTGTTGAGTCACCTGTCTTCTTGTTCAAGGAAGCCATGGAGACTCCACCAGATGGACTTGAACCAGTGTCCAATCTACAAAGAGGAGGGTCAACATAGAGGAAACATTTCCTCCATGCTTCCAAGTAAAGCCAGCCACAGTCAAGTGGGACCTTGACTGATCTTCACATAGACGGAGCTGGTAAAAGAAAGGAGCCAGGGGCTCCTCCCAAACCCCGAGGAACAGATCCTCAAATGACCTTAAGAGTAAAAATAAATTGGCTTGTTTGGACCAACTGTATGTTCTTAAGCACTCAAAAGGAAAGTATAAGCAAAGATTAAAGTGATCAGTATATTTCTTTAAGCATTCAGGGATTACACTTCCCAGATATTAGACTTAAGGCCATATAAAATGTTATTTAGACAATTATTTCTCATTGATGATTTTGTTTCTAATCACAAAGTGCTTGCTGCTCAGATGTAAGAATTCAAATCTTGGTCTACAATACCATAGTGCCCACCTGTAGTTAAGGGAGACAATCCACTACTATTCTAAAATGATGGCTAAATTTGTTTTCCTCCCCTATCTAGAAGCCTTTGTGAGGGAACTTACACCGATTCTAGCCACTCCAACAGCATCAAAGTGCCTGAAAACAAATCGTGAGTCCATCACTCTCGAGTCCAGCCTTGGCAGACAAAAGAAAAATGAGGAGGAACCCAATGGAGGGATGCTTTTGGAAGCCCTTGTCAATAAATCCCAACGGCCTCTGATATGAACATTTGAAATTTGCCGTTTTGACTTTTTTCTGGTTCCCTGTCTAGAACTTGTAATGATAACTACTCTTAAATTTACTTCTCCTTCACATCTCCTAGGCACCAGTCAAGGGCTTTCTTTTCTCCCTACAGTTACAAGTTATGCACTTTGGGAGTCTTTTGGGTAGACTCACTGAAGGGGTACCCCAATTGCATCACCCTGTGTCCCTGTTCAGCATGGAAGAAGCCAGAGTGGTCTGCATCCTGATTCCCTATTGGCAATTTGGGTAACCTCTTCATCAGATGGTGTGATAAGAATAGGAGGTAGGAACTAGCAAGGCAGTTAGGGAAAAAAGACCCCCCAAAAATACTGTTTCTTGGCTAAAAATCAAAATGTCCTTGGGCCTCTTAGCAACAGACTCTGTTCCAAAGGCCAAAAATGTCAAAAGAATTTGGGAGCTCTTATCTAATCCCTAAAAGATTTTAGGAGGGTTTACCTCTTCAGAGGGAAGAATGTTAGAGTAGCAAAAAGCTCCTTAAAAAAAAAAAAAAAGTACACGAAGTTGTTCAGGAAAAAGTGATGGGGAGATACGGAAAGTGTTGGAGGGGAGGGAGTGGGCATGGATTTGATCAAAACACCTTATATGCATGTATAAAATTCTCAATAAAATTTTTTAAAAGTTAAAAAAGAAAGCAAGCAAGAAGGAAATGCAGGCTTTGGGAACCAGGTTAATGAATTTGGACTCCATCGAAAGAGGATTAGAAAGGGATCAACCAGGGAAATGACAGTCTCAGATTATAACTTAGAAGATGACAGTAGCTGAACCACAGACTTCAAGGGGAACCAAGAAAACAGAGGATAGGTAAGTGGCTCAAGAGATGGTGTGCTGGATAGCTTTAGCATCAACTTGACAACACCTGAGTTGAGGGAGCCTCATTTGGGGAATTTCCTTCATTGGACTGGCCTGTGGCCATGTCTCAGGGGCATCTTGATTGCTGAGTGATGTGGGAGGGCCCAGCCCACTGTGGGTGGTGCCAACCCTGGGCAGGTGGACCTGTGTTGCATAAGAACGCAGGCTGAGCAGGGGCCAGGGGAGCAAGCCAGTAAGCAGTGATCCTCCATGGCCTGTGCTCCAGCTCCTGCCTCCAGATTCCTGCCCTGAGTTCCTACCTTGGGCTCCCTGATGAACTGTGAACTGGGAGATGTAAGATAAATAAACCCTTTCCTCCCCAAGTTGGTAGTGGTGAGAATGTTTTGTCACAGCAATGAAGAAACAAACTAATACAGATGGTTAAAAAGTGAGACTGTTAGGGTAGAGAGAAGGGAGAGGCAAGGGGCAACCCAGATCAACTTTCAGATTTGGGGTTTGGTTGCTACTTATTTGAGACAGGAACCTAGAAGGAGAAGGGTTTGATTATACCTTGGGTTGCTGATACACATACAAGTTTGGAGAGCAAATGAATGACTGACTAGCTGGATCCCCATGATCCCCATGGGCAGAGGGCTGTCTGTTATGGAGGTGGGAAACATTAAAAAGCTTTCCATTACAGAGAGACCAGTTTTGTGTTTCAAAAATATGAGTCTGGTGGTTGTATGAGGGTAAAACAAGGGTAGGGTAGAAAGTAACTAGGGAATTGCCTCAAAAATTATTTCAAAACTATTTCCTTTCACTGCAAATTAGAATTAGCTTTCTATAATTTAATATTTTGGATAATGTTATATTCCATGATTTAAATATTGATGCTCTTCTAAATGTATTCCACAGACATCATGGGTATAGAAATTTGTCTTTAAAATTAAAATCAGAAATAACAAACACAAAAGCTCTCTGCTAACATATCAGCATTACAGGAAGTCCCAAGCTTAAGTTTTAGAGGATTCCTGAACTAGAAAACAGCTCTTACTCATACTATATAACTTGAGTTTAGTAAATCACTTGGGGAAAAAAGCCTTATTTTTCCCTGAAAATCCATTCTCTAAGTGTTTTACTACGGTGTGGACATTGTATACATATCAAGTTGAAGCTAAATGGTTATTCAAGAGACTAACTTTAGTACCTGTGAGGAAAAAGAAAACTTACAAGAAGTAACTTAGCATATACATCCTACATGTTATGAAAGATCTGACCTCCTTTATTTTTTGAAAGTCAGTGTCAGTAGGGATAATTCTAAATGTCTCTGCCACAAAACTCTGTTCCATTAAATTTAAGTCAGAGTAGAAAGTCAATGAACTAAGAGATTTGCTCCATAGCAGCAGGGTAGGAGGTTGACTAAATGCTCAGTGAGCTGTGTAGGGCAACTCTGCCACCTCATCCCTATGCTAAATGTGTTGCTGACACTGTTGGCAGAAAGCAGATGACAGCAGGTTCAGGAGCACTGAGAAGATGAGGTTGGGTTTCCAAGTTGAGGCAAGTTCAGCAATCTATTGCTCTGGACTTTTGACTCTTTGCAGACCACAACCCAACAGGCTCTCAATTCTTCATTCATCCAAATAGTAGCCTCTGTGCAATTGCTCAGGGCTAGTTCCTCAAGTCACCAAGACAAAACCAGCAGCTACCAGTCCTTACCTCCTCTCAGTGGAAGATTCCTGTACTGACCTGTCCTAGGGAATGCTATTCCTAGTTTCTGATGCAAGTAATTCTTCCTGGAATAGGCAGTGAAGCAGTCCTGATGCTCAGTCCAGCAGCCAACTCCTACATCTGTAGTTCAGGGCCCAAGCCCTGCCCTTCATGTTCCTTGTGTGGCATTTGCTGCCCTGCAGGGTCTTCAAGGCTTCAGCTTCAGACATGGATGTCAGTGCTGGAGCCAGACTACCTCCCCAACAGAGCCAGAGCCTTCCCCAAATCTCCAGAGCTCTTCTAACTCCTCCTTCTTATGTGACGGCACCTGCCATCTGCCTTTGCCAGAGCTCTATGACCGTAATCTATCTTTCACTGGAACACAAACTCCCTGGCCAAGTTTCCTATTGCCATTATAACAAATTACTGCAAATTTAAGGATTTCAAACAACACAAATATTTGAAATGGGTCTTACTGAGCCAACATCATGTTCCAGGGCTGCCTTCCTTCTGGAACCTCTGGGAGAAAACTCTGCCCTTGCCTTTTCCAGCTCCTAAAGGCCATCTGCATGTCTTGTCTTGTGACATACCCACCCTACAACCCAACCCCAGCCACTCTGACCTCTGCTTCCCTTCTCATTTCTCCTGTTCTGAGCCTATCCTTCCTGTCTCCCTGTCATAAAATCCTTGTGATTACATTTAGGGGCCATCCTCATGGTCCAGGCTAATCACTCCATCTCAAATTCCAAGTTGAATTATATCTGTGAAATCAATATGCAATTCCAACAACATTGTCACAAATCTATGAATGTCTTCCAAAGTCATTTTCCCACCTACTGCACTCTTTAGAGGTATTCTGTCATTTAGTCAACTATATGAA